ACAGTTTTACTTTGTTTTTGGCCAAGTTAATAGTTTTATCTTTCTCATCATTGGGGTGTGAGAAGTTGCACAATTCAAAAAACACCCCCTGACTCCCTCATGGTGATGTGACCAGGTAACCTTCCTTGCTCCCTAAGGGATTAAGTCACAGTAATTAACTGCCATTGTTTCATTGTCTTATCCCAAATGCACCCTGACTTATAAATCTGGAAACATACACCTCTAAGTAAAAACAAAGCAATTAATTTTTTTAATGCTCAGACGATTGTATCACCTTGGAATTGAATCAAAACTAACGAAAGGCATGCAATACTCCTGAATTATGTCCAGCAAAAACCTGGTTTAAGTTTTCATTTTCCAACCTGCATCTCAAATGACCTCTCAGCACAGTAGCTGGACCAAGTCTGCCGCCCACCCAGGAGGCAACAAGGAAAGCTTCTGGTTCACATGTCCAAGAGTCTCTGCACAGCACAGCTCACCCCGAAGCCCTGAGGGGAAAGGGGCCAGAGCTATTTTAAATGCAAGTAACTGCTGGGATGTGTAATCCCACGGGGGCTTTGAAGAGACCTCACTCAAGTCAGATCTGCCCAGGTGATCTGAGCCTCACAGCAAGGAGCACATCTAGGGAGGAAATCCTGTCTCAAATCACCAAGGAAATTCCAAACTCTTACAAAAGAATTAGCGGATACTTCCGCAAGAGTACCCGTGGAGCCAGGGTGCTTTCTGAAAGTTTCTTCTGCAAGTTAATAATGATAAAGAGGAAGTTTGTTCCACCCTGCGGATTCTGAAGAAATAATTACATCATTGAGTGCCCACTCGGCACTGGGCATGCTTTCTGGTACTAAGCATTTTGCATAAATTATTTCTTCTAATCTTTATAAACGTAACTGTTATAGAAAACCTAGATGTATCTACGTACAAACTATTATTACCACATTTTTAAATGGTTAGGAACTAAAGTATCAGGAAAGCCTCATTAAAATAGTTCCAGTTGGGCCAGTCGGTGGCTCGGGGGTGTGGCACTTGGTACAGCCGGATCCCACAAGACCAATGTGTGTACAAGTGTGTACATGTGTGTACATGCCCCAAAAGCCAACAGCAGGACAGAATGGAGAAGGGACTGCAGCGTGACCATGCCCCCTGGCAGGGGTGGGGGGATCTCTTTCTTCCTTCCCTCTCTGCCCCCACCTCCCAACTGCACACGCCCTCTGGCAAAATATTTTTTAAAATATAATTTCAGCTATAAAGTTGCCTCGTAATAACAGACATTCGATATTTAACCACTTAGGGTGGAGACGCTAGCATTTTTACCTCTCAGGAAGGTTTCGACAAACATTTGTTTCAAACACAGACTGATGAACCTAGGCCTTTACTTGTTTTTTCCTCATCCCTTCACTTTGAAATAATTTTAATGTATAAATTAAATACTCAAACTCTTCTGAGTCAATGGCCTCATAAAATCTAATCCCACACCCGACTTTGTTGATCAGTGCATCACAGAAGTAATTCTGGCCAATACACAAAGTGATTTTTTTTAAATGGTATAAAATTCCAAGTAATATTTTTTTTTTTTTTTTTTTTTAGAGAGAGAGGTTTTTTTATCATAGGGACTACACGGGATACACACGCTAGCCAGAGAGAGCTAGAAAGCAAGAAATCACCCCCTGGGGGATGGCCACACCTCAATCCCTTCTCCTCCCTTCTCTTCTTGGGATTTTGGGCGCACACACACACACACACACACACGTGCCTGGCATGAGTTTTAAACCACCAGGTCTGGAACTCGAACCATGGTTAACTACATGGGAATCCTGAAACATAACCATTATGCTATCTGCTGGTCCCTACGTTTTTCTCTTTTTAATTGCCAGAGAGCACATACACTCACCAGAGAGAGAGAAAAAGGGAGAGAAAGAGAAGTCACCTTCCAATAGGGCATGGTTGCACTGGAATCCCGTTTCCTCCATTCATTCTTCCTGACAGGAGATTGTGCATGGACACACACGTGTCTGGTGTGTTTAAGCTGTCAGGGCTGGGACTGAAACTGTGTTGACCATGTCAAATCTGGCTCCCTTAACCACTAAGCTAAGGAAGCAGCCCTCGACTCTTCTGTAGATTTCTCATCTTTTTATCATCTTTTACCTTGCATCTAAGTTCCAGCCACACTAAGAAGCTATTTCTAGGTGTCTCCACTTTCTTTCACAAATCCCGCTGGTTCTTCATTTACTAAGTTCATTCTTACCACTTTTGTATGGAATAGCTCCTCCTCCCACAAAACGTCTCTCACAGTATATCTCTTCTGGGACACCCCCACCCCCACCACCACCTATCCTTCCCCTCCCCATAGTTACATATCTTCTGGGTGTCTTCCTTCTTTTTTTTTTTTTTCTCTTTTTTTTTTTTTTTGGAGAGATTTTCACTGTAGGGCGCGTGCGCTCGCCAGACAGACAGAGAGAGACATAGAGACAGAAAGCGAGAAATCACCCCCCAGGGGGGATGGTCACGCCGCAATCCCTTCTCCTCCATTCTCCTCTCGGGATCTTGGGCACGCACGCACACGCGCCCGGCGTGAGTTTTAAGCCACCGGGTCCAGGACACGAACCGCGGTCGACTACGTGGGAGTCCAGCGACATAGCCATTACGCTAACTGCTGGTTCCCCTGGGTGTCTTCCTTTATTATGCCATTCTTACTCTCATTGTTTCATTCAACACACATATATCACATTCCTAGTACCTACTGCGTTCTTTATTAGGTGCTGAGAATTCAAGGATAAGAAAACATAAGACTTTGAGTGGGGTAGAAAAAGGGAAATGAGGCCCATTCCCCAGTCAGAGGAGTGCCATGCCACCAGGCTCCAGGAGGCAGGCAGCTTTGTGAGCCTGGTCCTGCAGGACATGGAGAATCTGCTGGGTAGAAGTGTGAGAAGACAACAGGGAAGAGAAGGGAAGAGGACCTTCTAGGCAGAAGGAATGGCTGTGAGGTCAGGTTTGTGAAGGCAGAAAACAGAATTTCAGCTTCATCCCTCAGTATGTATTATCTGTTGCTTCCTTAACCCAGAAAGGGCCATTAGTGGCATATTAATGCTCGTAAAACCTTCAAATTTTACCTAAACACAAAAGAGGTAGGAGCACCATGAATAAATATAAACAGTTCATTCAGTCATGTAAGACATCGACATGGCAAACAGAATAAGAAGAGGCCTCCCCATGGAAGGGCGAGAACAAATCAAGACCGATGATAGAAACTTGACACAAGGCTCCTGGACCATTCTACAAGAATTAGGGAGCCCTTGCAAAGTATCTGCCTTCTGACCTAATAGGCACAGACTGTAGCTCTCCTCCTCAGCATGATGTTGCAAATCCCCAATGTGGGCTGGCCCCATAGACTGGTGGTTAAGGGAGCTAGATCCTACATGGCTGACAGCACAAATCCCAGTCCCAGCAGCTTGAAAAACATGTCATGGGCATGTATGTGCATGCTCCAAATCCTGACAGAGTGGAAAAATGGAAGGGAATGGATTGCATTCTGACTATATCTCATTGAGAGGATACTTTTTCTTTCTCTCTCTTTCTGGTGAATGCATGCACCCTCTGACAATTAAAAAAAAAAAAGGAAAGAAAGAAAATCACTAAGATTTTGTCCTCTTTTCAAGGAAGTGATGCATGAGTTGACCAACAGAGACAAAACTTTTGAGAGTGAATGATATTACTTGGTGTTATTCGATCCTGCAATAAAACTTCTCAGTCTTTTCAATCTGTGATTTGTACTCATACTTCTAAAGGACCTGGGTCAACACATGTTGTGGTACATCCCTATGGCTATCAAAGTGGGGAGAGATAAGAGAGCAGAAATCAGGCACCACTGTCCTCAAAAGAATGCTGTAGACTTGGGTGGCAGCCTGCCCAGTCCAGGCTCATAGTTTCGCTTCAACAGCTCAGATTGCTCGTGGTGTTCCTTTGGTATCACATCAGCTTAAGTCTCTTACCAGAAAACACCACCGTACATACCTCCAAGAGAGCTAGATGAGGCCTTGGGAGCCACACCATCCACTGAACTAAACCACACGCTGTATTTTATACTGCAGTAAAAAATCCGAATGAAGGATGAAATCGTAAAGGAGTGAACATCATTACCCCTTTCCAGCAAGGACCAAATCAGAGGCATTGAGCGCACTACACTGATTCAGAATAAGGAAGTCTCCCGGCGGATTCATTACTCTGTTCATTATAAAGCTAGCTTGTTATAGAGGAAGGATTGTTCTGTTCTCTGAAATTCATCAGTCTGTGTTAACACAGGGACACTATCTGATCTCGGTGTAGTCAATGCTCACAAGCACTCGTTAGCTGAGCTTTCTCATGCTCATTTACAGATGAGGACACCGAACGCTGAAAGATGAACTAAGTTCCCTGAGGTCGCCCAAGCAGCTACTGCACAGCATGCACTAGGACCCAAGACCAAGTCAAGTGAGTTTCCACTAGAGTCAAATGAAGTCATGGGTGACCTCAAGCTCCCCTTTATCTCACATCAGGACCTCTTTCGGAAGGAAGACAAAAATAGAAGGTTGATGCCTGACTTTTAATTTTATTTTTAAGTATCTACTTAGGGCCAAAGTCTGGATGTTCTGCAGAAACAAATTAGACAATATTCTCATGTGAGCAGAATCCTAATCTTGACCAAGAAGAAAACGATAATACACTGAGAAGTGAGTCCGACGGCTCTGAGTACACTGAATTCTCAGCAGTAGCCTTCTATGAGAAGGGGCAATTCTCCTGGACGACTGAATAGTCAAAGAGAATGACTCAAAGACTATTTCAGTACCAGATCCTATTTCAACCTTGTTGTCCATCTGTTTCCTGAGAATGGAAGGTTGTACGGTTCCAAGTCAGAAAAGGGGATGAATCATCTTCTAGCATCGCATAAGGTAGGAGCCCCACAAAGGCACGCTGTGCTTGCATAACACAGCCATGCAATGAGAGGCCGGAGCACACCTTCCCGTTACCTGGCTGGACTTCCGTGCTGTCATGAGGCCTCATCCCAGGGAGGTGAGTTCAGGGATCCAGCTAAACAAATGAGGGATGCTGTAAGGTTCATTCTTCATTTACTGCAGGCTAAGGGAGGGGAAAGAACAACTCAACAACTGCATCTAACAAAAGTTAATATTTTAAACTCAGACTTGACTGATAACTGCACCTGTTTATCAAACAGCGAATCTATCCTTCTGACTCCCCTTCGCCAGTCTTCTCTGCCTTCCCAATGGGAGTCACTAAGGATATAAAACTATTGTCCCCTCTGCCTGACCCTTTCTTCTGTATTATCTACACCCCCTAAATCACAACACCTGGAGCTGCGTCCACCACACACGTTGGTTTCTCCCTACCTCCTTTAGATTCAGAGACAATAGAGTTCCCAGGGAATGCCAGACTTTAGAGAAGCCCAGGGGAATGGATATTCAGGCAGGCAGCCAATTCAGGGTTATTGGCAAGAAGAGCTCAGACTCCAATGTTAAGAGTGAAGAAACTTTCAAGGTCACGATTACCGTTTCAGCCGAGCTGTGGGCCAAATGATCACACACAGTTCAGCTAGAAACCTAAACTGTCACATACAATATCGTTTCTATGGTAAGCTGCCTTCCAAGTTCTAAACATCTGCCTTGCAGACAAGCGTTCGGAATACTAAACATTCAAAGGTTGGTGCCACCTACAAAAAAATTTAACAATAAATGCTTCCCCTTGAGTTTCTTTTCCTTTACAGCTGCAGAAGAAAATAGACTGTAAATACGATACTGGTGCTGAGACTTGAGCTCCTTCCTTAGGAGGGACCTCAGCTGGAAAAGGAGTTGTGACCACCAGTGATTCGAGCCTCAGAGCCAGAGGTGAATTTACTCTTTCCACTGTGCTCAGAGAGTAACTGGACCTACTTCTGGATACGTAGTGACTATTGAGAAAAGGACTCTCAACACTGTCATAACGAGACAGTGAGGACAATAGGTTTGGGGAGTGTTTTATTCACTTTATATTGGCAAAGGCAATCAGTAGAAATGTTGTTTCTGTAGTCCAAAGAAAATGCCGAACTCCCAAGGAGGTAGGTGATTCCTTCTGAGATTTTTTTTTTAATTGCCACAGAGAACATATTCACTCAACAGAGAGACAGAGAGAGAAAGAAGTAGCCCCCTCCCCAATGGGGCACGGTCATGCCACAATACTTTCTCCTCCAGATTTCCATCCTGTCAGGATTTGGGACACACATATACATGATGGGTTTTTCAAGCCACCAGGGTAGATTCCAACAGTGGTCTGCCAAGTGGGATCTGACTCCCTTGACCAGGAGGATATGGGCTAGCCCCTGAACGGATACGCTTAACTGAACTCTTGTATAAGCATATGTGCACACACGTGTATATGCCTGTGTAGACAAGCAGGTTATGAGGACTGTGGTAGGAAAAACACAGATTATGTGCTTCAAAAGAGGAAAATCATTGACAAGACAACATACTGGCCTGTCCTAGTCTTGTTTTCTCTTCAAAGAACCATCGTTATGAAGGGAAGTGGGGTCCTGGAACAAAACTCTTAGACTTCTCCATGTTACAATTAAGAGTACCCAGAGTGGACTTCAGCCAAACTTAATGAGTGAGAAAAGAAAACAAGAGTCAGACATCCCTACCAGTAAAGGATGGTGCCTTCCAATCCCATGGCAGCTATGTATGGATGATGTAATTTTGCCTCCTTGGCTGAAGCTGGTTGGACCCAGGATGAATGTCTGTCTGACACAGAGCCAATCAACTTTTCTCTACCAGAATTTGGAGTTTGGATTTAGGGACAGCTAATCGCTCTACTTGATTGAATCTGTGTATCTTTTCTTTTTTTCTTCGTTTTCAATTTTAATTGCTATAAGGCATGTGCACTTGCCAAAAACAGAGAGAAAGAGAGCAACCTCCACCCCTCCCAGGGGCCCTGGTGACATTACATCCTTTTTCTCTATCCTGTTAAGATTTGGGGCATATACATACATACATACATACATACATAAACACACACACACAAAGCCACTGGGGTGGGATTATGTGGGATATGGCTTTCATTTTTTTGTTTTTGTTTTTGTTTCTGTTTTAATTTTGTTTTTTGTTTTCTTGGGGGCAGGGGGTGCTGAAGGGTGTGTGCATTTAGGCAGAGACAAAGAGTGATGAGAAAGCACTCCCCATGGTAAATGGTCACACCATAGTCCCTTCTCCTCCATTTCTCCTTCAAGGATTTTGGGTGTGCACACACACACACCCAGGGTGCTTCTCACACACCAGGTGCAGGACTTGAGCTACGCAGTTGGCCATGTGGGATCCAGATGCCTTAACCACCAGGCCAAAGAGCTGGCCCAGCACCTGGCTATGTATGCACAGCTTTTAACTGCTGTTCTATGGGGCTGGCTGGTGCCATGGACATCTTGATAAGAAGTTGACACAAAAAATTCAGAACTTATAAATGGATGAAGATGTTTTTCATAATTTCTTTACTTTGCAAAATAACTCAACCCGAGTTTCTTTACTAAGTTACCCCAGTATATGCAAAGTATGGTTTGACTTTACATATTGTTTTACTGTATCATCTATCACAGATTACTTCTGCATTTGTGGGGAAAGTTCTAGGGAAATCCCAGCACACTTGAACTGGGTAAAAGATCGCTTCATAATTCCTTTCCTTCATCCAGCAATTAGGAACAATGGTTCTAACCCTAGTAGAAATCATCAACCTAGCTGAGACTGCGGTACCACTATGAAATCTTGCCTCAAAGATTCACATATACACGTAAACAGGATATTCTGCACGTTTTTCGAAGTGCATGGTCCTGCT